AAGGAAGAAATTCCTCCTAATGACTCACCGTTATTTAAATTCCGCCTCTTTTAGTCTAAAACCATTCCCCTTTGTCCTCTCACTATCTGCCGGTGTAAAAAGTCACTCTCTCTTTTCTTATAAGCTCCCTTTAAGCACTGAAAAGCTGCAGTTGAGGTCACTCCAGAGCTTTCTCTTCTGAGATTATGAGGCAGCCAGTTTATTTCAGCTTTAGCTAGTGCCTCCACCGAGGAGGCTGACCCTGAACAGAGCCGCCCCTGGGCCTTTATCTGTTCACAGTCTGTGCACTTTTATTCACACACAGTCTGTGCATCTGACCTTCACATGCTCTTCATACACTCTGTACATGCCTCTTGGTCCAGTGGCAATTTATCATCTGAGGTCTTCTAACACGTTATCGGATTCTTTCTCCATGTCCATGTGAGCAGACCATTGACTGCTCTTCTCTTCCAGCTTGAGGTAATCTTGGTGCCCTCCAGGTCTCAGCTCTTATTGAAGCACTCCAGATTTCTGTTCCTCCCCTGCTTAGCTGTTCATGTTCACAGAGTTCATTACAGTTCACCTCAAAACCAAGCTTTGAGCAAGGCCCACTCATGCTAGACTGTAAGCAAGTTACAATTAAACTTCAACCTACATAATTAATTTCTAATATTCCATAAGTAAATTTACTTTAATTCCCAACAGACCACATATCTCTGGCTGTGCACTTCAGCCAATTTCTTAGCAACGTATCCTGATTTCAGACAGCATAGGGTTAATTTTTGCAGTAGCTAGGAGGAGGTGTGGCTACGGTCCAGATGTTATTTGACACAAAAGGGACACTTTCTGTCTTGTACAGGGAGAAGAGGTTCCTTCCAGCCAAGAAAACATGATGGAAAGAATGGTCTGATATTGGTTTTTTGGGGAGGCTTTCCATGTAAATAATTTATTTTTCTTGTACCTTTTGTTATTAATATTGTTGCCGTTAATGTTACTTTCCTTATCTCATTGCTCTTTCCAGTAAATTGTTTTTATGTTAACCCATGATTTTTGCCTTTTGAGCCTGTCCTGGGGTGACTTTATGACGTTTGTATCCCAAACCACCTTGTTTATGTTACATATTAAGTTCTGCACCTTTAAGACTGGCTCTGAGAGTGAAGAGGGGGGAAGAAGAAGCTGCAGTTTGTGTTCAGAAAGAGTCCTCATTCCCCCCCATCCTGCTCCTGGACTGTGGTGTCTGCAGCACAGACAGACAGCAGGATGGAGACCTCCTTTGCTGTTGCATAGCTGAGATAGAGAGTTCCCCGGACTGTTTTTTTTTCCTTTTTCTTGTATCTGTTCAAACCTACTCTTTTTCTGGATTTGCCATCTCATCGAACAGTGAGATGTTTTATTGTTTAATGTTATTCCATTTCTGTTAAATAAACTGGTTTTTCTACTTTTCTCCAAGGAAATATTTTTCCCAAACCAGTTGGTGGAGGGGCTGCTTGAATTTGCTTTCTGGAGGGACCCCATTCAGAGGTTCTCTCCCAAATTTGCCCTAAACCAGGACAGAGCCCCCAGTTGGAGAAGAAGAGGAGGGGAAGCAGCGCATGGTGTTAGCAGGAGTATCCCCTAATGGAGAATACCATGCTTAAACCACAACACTACCAAATACTGCCCTCTTGAAATCCATGTCTCCCCAGTTTGGAGACAAGGATGCCATGTGGGATCACATCACAGGCTTTACAGAAGTCTAGGTAGATAAAATGGTTCATCTTCCCTTGTCAATTGTTGCAGTAACTCTGTCATAGAAGACCACCAAGGTGGTCAGGTACGACTTGCCCTTGGAGAAGCTGTGCTGGATGTCCCAGGTCAACTCCTTGTCTTGCATGTGCCTTAATATCGCTTCTATGAAGACCTGCTCCAGTCCCTTTTGTGTCAGGGACCAAAGAGTGTTTAAGGCCTGCCATATTTCATCCACTGCTGACAAGATAATGTAGAAGAAGATCTTACTGTTAGTTATCAAGACTTTAACCTTCAGAAATGAAACTATGTATCAGTCACCTGGTAGGGGATTCAACCTGTGAAAGGGGAATAATATACAATAGTCATTGATGGCATGGAGGTGTTATCATGGGCTGTTATGACCTCATCTCACACACTGGCCCTGCATGAGGTGATGTTGAAGCAGGCCACTGCTGACGAGGAGATATAAGGTGTCGTCCTGGGGTGGAGGGGAGAGGAAGATGTACACTGCTTTCATTCAGGGGATACCCTGAAGGTGCGCTGCCTCCCTACTCCTCCCACTCAGGAGCCATGCTCTATCACCTTCTCCTGTTCAGCAGCTTCTCTAGAATCCAGGGGCCAGTATGTATTAATTGTTAGTGTGACAACAAAATTAATTTACTTTGCAATTCTGAGTGCGTCTTGAGTTTTTTGTGCACATCCTCTGTATGTTCAGGCATCCTCCCAAACTTCACACCTTTCCAGGCAGAGAGATGATGGTCACTGGTATTTAGTTCCATGGGCCAGGACAGAATTAATGTTCTTGCAGTAGCCATGAGGGCTTGGAGCCTGGAGCTGTGTGGGCATACCCACATTGTTATTCTGTACCATCCACATCATATCAGGGGAGGTGGGGTAGAAGTGAGGGATTCTCATTTCTGAGAAGGAAGGCGGGGGGAGGGGGAAATGCATGTGGTGGGCCCAGGGGCCATTTTCTTCATTGTCTCAGAACCATGCAGCACCTGCTGGATTAGTTGGTTGGTCACTGAGCACTTTTTTGAATGTAAATCGTCCTCTTTTTGTCTATTTTTATAATTAAAATTGTTGCTGTTCATTTTCTTATCACTGCTTCCAGTAAATTGCTCTTTAGAGAAGAATTGGTTTGTCTCTGACTTTTGTTTCTCTCTTATGGGAGGGGGTGAAAGTAAGGTAGCAGCTGTGTAAGGCTGAATTTCCAGTTGGGCTTAAAAGCATGACACCTTTTTAAAAATAGGATTGACATTTTCCTTTTTCCAATCACTGGGACTTAGCCTGACCACCATTTTCAAATAGGATGGAGACTGGCTTGGCAACTACATCAACTCTCAGGACCCTGGGATGCATCCAGTCAGGCTCCATAGATTTGTGCCTATTCAGTTCTATCAGATGGTCTCGGACCTCCTCTTTGCTGACGGTGGGAGGGACTTTGTCCCCCAACCTTCACCTGGAGGCTCAGCAACTTGGGAGAGGCAGAAAGTCTAATGACCGCTGGAGTCTGAGGCAAGGTCGTGCATGGGTTCAGGACTGCACAGGTTGTGCAGCAGGAGAATGACTTACAGGGAAATGATTAAACAGACATGCTTGCTGATACACCTGCAAACAATCAATACCTTGGGTCTCTTCAATCTTTACCTTAATATTTTTAAAGATCTTTCAGCAGCCTGGAACATAACAAAAGCAGTTAAGGCCTTTCTTATCTTCAATCTAGTACTTGTAAAATACCATCAACAACAATTTGGAAAATTGGAATTATAGACTGCGGATATTTAAAACTGTAGTGCATATTAAGGAGGAAATAAAAATTTTAGGGGTTGGTTCTCATATGCCTCATAATCAGTGTCTGTCCCAAAGGCTGTTGCTAGTTAGGGTTATCCAGTGTGACTTTTGCCGCAACAAGTTTGTTTATTAATTAGGCAGTGTCTCACTTTCGGAAGACAGGTGTCTGCTAGAGAGGGCAGGAGCCTCCCTTGGAATGAAAATGTAGACCCCCCCTCCCTCTGAATTATTATAATTTTGAAATCAAGGAGCTCTCAGACAGAGATCTGGAGATAGGAATAACAATTCTTTAATAGAGTGTATAACAAGGCACACAAACAACAATAACTACAGCATTAACAACAAAACAGAACCTCTCAGCTGGGACGGGAAGGGATGAAGGAGAGGCTTTGCTTCACAAACTCCCTTGGGCAGTCCTGATGCTCCTGCAGGGCTCTGAGGAACACTCAGCTGGAACAGCAGGGATGAGCTGAGATCTTGGGCCAGTGGCTGAGGTGGATCAGCAGGGATGAGCTGAGATCCTGGGCCAGTGGCTGAGGTGGATCAGCAGGGATGAGCTGAGATCCTGGGCCAGTGGCTGAGGTGGATCAGCAGCTCCGTGGTGGTGGCTGGCACTGCCACACGTCCCGGCAGGACAGGGTGTGCGAGGCCACCAACAAAGAGGGAAGGAGAAGAAGCAGCAGCTCCATCTGGGTGATGGCGAATTCCCTTCTCTCCACAGCAACAGCTCCCAGCAAAGTGTCCTTCTCTGTAGCTGAAGAAGCCACCAAATTGTCCCCACCCTCCCCTTTTCCTGCCCCCCTTGGCCCAGCCGAACACTTTGTGTTTCTCAAGCACCCACCAAGTACCTGCAGTCAGGTTTTCCCCAAAACTAATGGGTAAAAATTCCTCAGGTGAGACAGAACTAAAAGAAGAACCCTTAACCCCCAACAGGCAGTTAGAATATTTTCTTGGGAAATCACTGAGTATTGAATCCCATCTTTTATTCTAAACGGCACCTTCCTTGACTTGAGATTTCAGAGAAACATCTGAAGCAAGCAGAGCAGGAGGCACACAGATAAAGGCATCTGGCTAAGAATGGGGATCTGCATATTCAGCTATGACTTCATCTCAAGAACAGTGTTTGGTCCTCTGGCCATTCAGAGCAGGGCGTTCACTACATCTTTGTCAACAAGGGCACTAGATCTATGTTAGCCATGAACTGGAAGAACCCTGACCCCTCTCAGGACCCTCCTGAGCAGCTTCAATTCAGCACAGGCTTCCCATGTGTTTCTACTTTTTCAGTATGAATTCAAACACACTCCTCCCTGGTTAACATCATGGTGGGCTAAGCCTCTTGAGGCATTAGGCATGACCACAGCAGCTTTCTGCTCAGCCAAAGTGGACAGTCTACGTACATGCTGTCACACCAGGGAGCATTAAGGGTTGGGGTGTTGGAAATGCTGAGGTCAGGGTGTGGGGGAAGATCCCAAGGTACCAGGATGGCATCATGCCCACCGTAATTTCTCAAATCAATGTTATTTATGGCCACTGGAGAAGGCAAGTTCAGAGAGCCCAGATAACTTTTCAGAAGTCTGCCTTGACACTGCTCCTGCCACCACTTACACCAGCACATCTTATTTTCAGGAAGATTATGGGAGGCACTGTCCAAGAGCTGTCATGCTGGAGATGCAGTGAGGGGACATCAGCATGTCGGAGCTGTACAGGAAAGGAATATGGTCAGTAATGGAAATCCTGCAGTGGCACAGACAAGCAAGAACATCAGCCTCATTGACAAGTTGGGACCAGTTCCAGCTACCTGCCCCTAAAACATTACTCTCAGGTCAAGCAGCAACAAACCACCTGCAGGCACCTTGCACCATCATGGTGGCACCAAATACTCCTGGCCAATTTATACCCTGTGTTCCTGTACTGGAAACTTAAGAAACCAGCAATGATGCAGTTGCCGCCTCTGCCAGAAGACAGCACATTATGGGGAACTGGACAATCCTCTGCAACTGGCCCTTGAAAGAGGGGCCTGCCACTGTTAGCATAGGGGTCATTGCACAGAATCCCCTCAGCACCAAATAACCCCTTAGCTCCACTGAAGCTTCCAAAATGCTCTGATGGAATAGGATTCCCCAGGGGAGGAGCTGCAGGGTTAGCTTTTTGTCTTCCTATCTGGGACTAAGAGTGGGGGGAATGTTTGTAACCATAAAGACTTATTGATTCTCCAGCAAAAATACCCTGACTCTGCAGTTCAGTAAATATCACAAAAATCTGCATTGTTGTATGCTTTGCATATCAGTGTCCACAGCAGCAGCATTCCTTGCTCCCATTCCTCTCCATGGACAGGGGTGTCACTTCCCATGCTGGACATGAATGATTTGTTTCCTTCTGCATCATTTTACTGAGTGCCATGTCAGATTAAAGGAAGATGAGTTACACTTTTTCCAAGCTAAGTGTTCTTGTGCAAACTAGAAATGAGAAAGTGATAAGGTGGACAACAGAAGTTTTCAGATGTGAGATTTATGCAGAGGAGGCAATTGTCTCTGCGCAACAAAAAGATTCGTGAAATATGAAAACATGAATTTTGATGTAAACAAAACCCAAAAGGAACACATTTTGCTGCTACTTTTTAATTAAAAAAAGTGGGGGGGGAAGTTTTTGGAACTTTTAAAGTTTGATGTTGAGAGGAATGACAGGTTTGTCTTTACAAACAAGCTGTGGGTCTGCTGATAAGATGAAACTATCACTGTGAGATAACAGAAACAATGGGATTGAAGTATGAAAGGGACACTGAGGAAACACTGTAAATTCCACAAGAGTTAAGCATGAAGAGGGAGGTTATGCACTGTGGGGGAATCTCAGTGTCAGGAAAATTAATCCACAAATACCAGAGGAGACAGAGGAGTCCTTTTACTTTATTCGAATAAAGAGAGAAGCCATGGGGCATTCTCCTGGGGTCTCTCAAATTTTTTGGAGGGCGCAGCCTCCTTTTTTATCCTAATTCCTTTTGCCGCTTGTCCCTTCTCTCTTTCCCCATGGGCTGAGGGACTTGAGAGGTACAGACTGCCCGGAGTGCCTGATACCAGTGATACCTTCCCCCCGCACCCCCCC